TCCCTGACTGTTTTGTCAAGTAATGGTAACATTGTCAGCTTGTTATGGCTTTCCTTGCAAAGCACACGATATGTAAAAAGAACTCTTTAACAGGTATTCTGGCTGATGGCATGATCTTACTTCATACATCTGTCTCAGAGTAACCTTCATACTCTAGGCTAGACACACAACGCACTTCCTTACAAGTCACTACCACCCTGGAAGAAACTACTGCAGTATCACTTGCAGACATGTAACTTTCACCCAATATATTACAGTTATAAAAATGGAAGGGGTGAAGAAAAAAAATAATGAGAAAAATATAATACATAGAAAATGATAATAAATCCTTATCTAAGTACATGCACGGAATAATCGTCTTGGATAAAAATCTGGGCCAAGATAAACTTATGTTTTATAAAATATGGAATGCCTTGTCACTATTGAATCTTGGGCAGTTACACTCTTGTTTTCTTGTAAATTTCTCATACACCTTAATTTTCTATTTTCATGAAACTCCTTTGTAACATGTTAACACTAAGGTGTTCATCCCATACCTGGAACTTCATTAACCTGTTCATCATGTCTGCTTAACGTATTAGTTATTCATCTTACCAAATAACTAAACAGTGGTATACAGACGAGCAAAGCAAACTAAGACAATTTTTTTTTTATAATTCCCTTGCACAGTCTGCTGGAGAATGTGAATTATTTCATGATGATTTTCTCGTAACAGCAATCATGACTCAAACATTAATTCCTTATTATTTGATGACAAACTACAGAAGTTCTATCCATACCTCACATGACTGCTTTCCCTACATCTTTGTGTATCCCTATTCAACTAACACCTGTGGTCAATTGATTCCTTTTGTGTAGGATGGAAGTACAAGTCAACTATTTCAGAATAAAATATGGAGAATCCTGAAGGGCCAACAAGACAGACTCAGGTAAACTCAAGACCTGGAATATCTGTACAACCATGTAACCAGGATACCTCTACACCAGAAACAATATTCTTTTATGTCTCTACCTCATTTGATCTGAACTAAAACAAGCTGCATATATTTGTTACCTCCTGTATATATAAACACATATTTGCATTTCTATATAACTCGCTTCCTTCTTCTCTACCATCATAGGTAGACTTGTAACCTAAAGGCATCTTTAAACACTTCATAAAATGCAATTATTGTCTTTAATGCCTCACTCATCTTATCGTTTTCTTCTTGAAATCATTTCACATCCTTAACACATTATAGTGATAATGAAATGCTGTATTGCACAGCACCTTGGAAGTGAAACTAAAGTATGTCCTCTTTGAACAGTTTAGGAACAAAGACATTTTGGTATAATGCCTTTCTATGGAGTCTCAAAATCTCCTTTGTCAACAACTTCCTAGTAATTCTTTTTCTTTTCAAAAGAAATATCGTTCACACAACTGCATTTTTCTAGCATCAAACTAGTGTGGATATATATTGAAGACATGTCAGTATCCAGTCATCACTTGGATGTATGTACCTTCAACACTGAAATCTTGGCAGTCTCAACTCGGAGACAGAGACTTAGAAGAGAGAACTTCAGCCTGTGCCTATCCCGAGTTCTTCACATTTCCAATGAGTGAGATCCCTTCATGGAAAGGATTACTCACTCCTCTTTAATGTTTCCCGGATTCATCATGCTGCCATTCATAACCTGCGCTGGCAACTTGAAGGTGTCCCGTTTCACAAGTGACATTGCTAGGAGTTTGAATCTGAAAGAAAGGAAAAATGGTTTAGCTTTTGATAATAAGAAAAGAAAAGAAATTTTTCCTGATAAGGAGGAGAGAGGAGAGTGTAATCAGAAAAAAGGAAATCTTTTTGCTCATGGATTAGAACAGAAAAGGACACAAACCTCATATATATTTCATGTCTAATTGTTGCAGTAAATTTCTTGACGAGACACCATGCAGTTGCTGTAGCAAACAGGATATTATAACCAAGAACAATCCAGAAGTTTCCAAGCCAACTGATCTTTCCAAAGTCTCCCAGCAGATCAAAATTTGTTATCCCTGAAAAAGAAAAATATAAATTGCAGTCATTATCAAAAGGAGAGAAAATGAACAAATCAAAATTGGATGCAAAAATTAGGAGCATAGAGAAGTTTTATCACATCACAAATAACAGCCTCCTGGGGGTTCACTAACCTAGAGTCCTGGCCAAAAGAGGCAGGGCACTTGAGAGGATCAGAACCACTACACAGTTGGCGATGATGTGCACCATCGGAGTGTCTTGGGGCCTCGGACGGATCTTGGCTATGAGGGGCAGGGAGTAGCACCCCAGGAGAGATGCCGCAATCAGGTACAATATGAGCACAACCTCCAGCACGGCTCCCACTGGGCCCAGCACAGACAGCAACACTGTCCGCTGCAAAAGGATTGCAAAGTTAACCATGTTGCTCAATCTTATATACAAACATATCACTTTCATATACGTGGGTGAGGGGGCTAATCCATATCAAATAAGAATAATATGAAGTGATGAATTTGACAGCACAGAACTACGTGAAAGTTAGAGTGACCAACCTTGCCCTGCTGTGCCTCTCCGAGGATCGCAGGGGCCGATGCCAGGGGCAGGGCCTTGATGCCCACAAGCAGCTGGAGTGTGTTGAGCCCCACAATCACCACTGCAGTGCCTGTCAACGCCAGCAGCAGCAGCAGGGCCAGGGGGTAGGCCAGGGTACGCTGAAATACGCCTGCACGGCGCCTCTCCTCTGTAGGGGAAAGAGATCATGAATCCATTATTGCAAAGAAAAGCATCCAAACTGGACACTCTTAAAACCTGAAAGCCTAAAAAAGTTTGATTAAGAACATTTTTAAAGATTCTTAATGGTTTAATCTCACCCCGCCACATCAAATCCCAAACCATGAGCACTTCATTGTTACAATACAACTGTAAAGAAAGGAAGTGAGTAAGAAGGAACTAGACTTTCACAGCAACCACTCAGTTCCACACTCAAAATGCAGGGTAAAGGGGCAGAAAATCAGGGCCTTTGGCAAGAAAAAGCTAAAATTTACCTTCTGTCTGGATTATTTATTGACCTGCGGGCATCGAAAATGGTGAATTATGTAAGAAGTCTCATTCTTCTATATTAGGTAATGAGTCATCTGTTATAGCCCTCGCAAACCAATTAAAATACTAATAATTCTGAATATCTTCATGATTTATGATAAAACAAAAAATAAAAATGAATGTTCAAAAAGAGAAAAGAAGAAGAAAAAGAGGTATCAATTAAAAGAGATGATTTATACAATAATAGCATTGCTGATGAGAACTGCAATGCCAAATGCTGCTGTGTGATAATGAAAACACAATTATTATTATGAAATAGTAATAAGGAAACCCCAAATCACTAGATAAGAGTAACAATGGCGGTGATGATGATTAATAACGAAAATGATGGTGATGGTGATTATGCTGATAACAAATGGAGATGAAGAAGATGAAGAAGATGAAGACGAAGAAGATGAAGGTGAAAAAGAAGATAATAAGGAAAAAGACGATAAGGAGGAAAAAGAAGATAAGGACAAAGCTAAAGATGATGCCGAAGCCTACAGCCGACGATGATGAAGATGAAGATGAAGATGAAGGTGAAAAAGAAGATAAGGAGGAAAAAAGAAGAAGATAAGAACAGAGCCAAAGATGATGCCGAAGCCTACAACCCATGAACAAGATGGCCCCCGACCCCCAGGCGCCCAAACCCCAGCTTCCGCACGCCCCCCCCCCCCCCCAACCTACCGAGTTTGATCCGGGTTCTCTTGACCGCGTGGTACTGCTGGAGCAGCGCCTCCACCGTGGGCGTGTTGGCGATGGTCCTGGTGATGGCGCGGGCGTGGGGGTGCGCCGGCCGGTCCAGCTGGCGGGCGAGGGCGTCCTCCTGCAGCACGGCCGCCTGGTACTCCTCCGCCAGGTCGCGCAGGAACCCGGGCTTCACCACCAGCCTGCCCATGGCCGTGAACAGGTGCGCCAGACCCACGGGCGTGCACACTGCGGGCGGGGTAATCAGACGGAAATGTCAAGAAAACAAAAATATCAAGAAAATAAAATTATCAAGAAAAAAATTATCAAGAAAACGGAAATATCATGAAAATAAAATTATCAAGAAAATAAAAATGTCAAGAAAACGGAAATATCAAGAAAACAAAAATATCAAGAATATAAAAATATCAAGAAAGCAAAAATAACAAGAAAACGAACATATATATAAAAAAACGAAAATATCAAGAAAATACTACCATTATCACCCGGAATGACACATAAACCGAACTGACAAATGAATAAAAAAATAAGTCTTCATAACGTGATCATACTGATACTTACGGAGAAGCATGAGGACGCCGAGACACGAGATCAAGGAGTACAAGAAGGGGAGGTAGAAACTGCCCCAAACATCTGGAAAAAAGAAAGAGAAAAAAATGCGGTAAAATCTGTAAAATCTGTAGCATCACGTGACTACAATCAATACTGAATATTTCCTAAGAACAAACTTCCCGCCACTTCACGGTATGTCCGATGGCGAACACCAATATAAATAAAAAATAAATAATAATAAATACAAAAAAAAAACATACAGAATAACTAGGAGCACTCAGCGAGCGCATACCTCCGCCAAGGCAGCAAAAATTACTCACACTTCAAGAAATGCATTAAAATCGCTTTTCACAAAAAATAATGGGATATAAGTTAAGCTAAGACACACCTATGGTATAATTTTCATAAAAATCTGTTCAAAACTTTTTGAGTCATCCTACTAACCAACGAACGGACAAACAAACTAACCAACGTGGCCGAAAACACAAACCTTCTTGGCGGAGGTAATAAAAAAAATATATTATGAGTCAGGATACGACAGATGGCCATTTTTATTTTTTATTTATCTTTTTTTTAAACAAAAGACGGTCTAACTTCCTTACCGCGGCCATCACTTCGCATTTAAAGCGGTTTCGCGGGTCACGCTTGCACGCCATCATAAAATTAATGACTCAAACTCTACACACACACACAGAGTTTATGCTAACACTTTTTCTTTTGTATAATAATTTTTACACAATAATGTCTAAACCCGATGCTTTTCGGCTACCAAATTATCCACATCGAGCGACAGGCGTATATCTATCACTAACACGGTCGCTAAGCCCAGAGACACACTACACGGGAAACTACCACCCTGATATATCACAATCATAAATCAGCCTCATACAGAAATACGAACCGCCCCAACGGCCCCGCCGCTAAAACCATAACGATAACGGTAATGGAACCCGCGATCTCTAAGAAACAAAATTTAGACCTCGGATGAACCGGACCCGAGCTCTTTCCCGCCAAAAAATTTAAAACGATGTCGGACTTTTATAGATCTGTAAATGGCGCGCGTGTTATTTCAGCGCGCCGAGGTTATGTGGGAAAACAAAACAGGAGGAGAGAATGAAAGTCACAGTAAAAAGGGAGTCTGTGAGTATGGAGAGAGAAAGACAGGAGAGAGAGAGAGAGAGAGAGAGAGAGAGAGAGGGAGAGAGGGAGAGAGGGAGAGAGAGAGGGAGAGAGAGGAGAGAGAGAGAGAGAGAGAGAGAGAGAGAGAGAGAGAGAGAGAGAGAGAGAGAGAGAGAGAGAGAGAGAGAGAGAGAGAGAAGAGAGAGAGAAAGAGAGAGAGAAAGAGAGAGAGAAAGAGAGAGAGAGAGAGAGAGAAGAGAGAGAAAGAGAGAGAGAGAGAGAGAAAGAGAGAGAGACAAGAGGGAGAGATAGACAGACAGACAGATAGACAGAGAGGGGTCAGAGAGGGCGACGGGTTCAATGGCTGCAAGAATATTACCGCGATTGTTCGTACTGTTGCTTCTGCTATGCATAAAGCTACGAAAATTGGAATATGAATTTACTATAAAACAGATGATTTGCATTACGACAAACACATACAAATATACACACAAATACACACATACAAACAAACACACACAACAAAATCCAAAATGCACTTGAAGACAAAAACAACAACAAAAACAAACCCCATAAAACTGAACCTCAAGCGGAGGCCATAACATATACATACATCCATGCATATATACATATTTTTCCTTTAGCAAACAGCCTAGGTACATAACGGGAAGAAGATTTAAACCCAAGACGCTTGAAGGCATAAATGATACAGCAATTTTCGGAAGCTTAATTTTTTTTTTTATTACGTTTAGTTCGCTTTCATATTCCATCGTCACTGTCCACTGTGTGTGTTCATGTGTTCACGAAACTGCGGCTTAAATAATAATAATAATAACTATATTATTATTATTACTATCATTATTATTATTATCATTATCAACAACAACAATAATAATAACAGCGACAACGACGACAACAACAACAATAATAATAATAATAATAATAATAATAGCAATGATAGTAATAATAACAAAAATGATGGATGATGATGGTGATGATGACGATGATGATGATGATGATGACGACGACGACGACGATGATGATGATGATGATGATGATGATGATGACGACGATGATGATGATGACGATGACGATGATGATGATGAAGATGATGATGATGACGACGACGACGATGACGATGACGATGACGATGATGATATTGATGATGATGATGATGACGACGACGACGATGACGACGACGATGATGACGATGATGACGATGACGACACCCTCGCCGCGCAGGGAGTAGCGGCGGCGGCGGCCTCGGAGATCCGCCCGCAACGGCCACCGCAAAGGGAAGCAGAAGCAGACATCGCGGGACTTCGGCCGGGGAATGATTAACGGCTGACGGGGGAGGGGGGTGGGGGAGGAGGGAGGGGGGAGAGAATATGAGGGGAGGGGCGGCGGGGGAGGGGGAGAGAATATGGGGAGGGGGAGAGAATATGGGGAGGTGGAGGAGGTGGTGGTGGAAGCGTACTATATATGAGGGATGAGAGTGAGGAGGAGGAAGAGGGGAGAGGGGGGGAGGGGGGGGAGGAGGAAGAAGAGGAGGAGACGGAGAGTGAGGAATTGAAACATATGAGGGAAGTGGAGGAGGAAAAAATGAGGAGGAGGAGGGGGAGAGCAACAGGAGGACCAAGAGAGGGAGAGGGGGTAAGGGAAGGGAAGGAGGGGGAGGCCGGAAGTAGAGGAAGAGGAAGAAAAAGAAGAGGAATACAAATAAAAATACTAAAACAACAACAATAATGAAAATTGACGACAATGACAATTATAACAACAACAATAACAATAATAACCCCAATAACAACAACAACAATAACAGTAGTATCAACAACAGAAACAACAGCATTGACAACAATAAAAAAAAAACAATAAAGGACGACAAACAGCAGAAGAGGCAACGAAGAAAAGAAGAGTATGCACAGCAGGGGCAGAAAGGGGGAAGGGGGGAGGGGGGGAGGGGAATATAGCGAAGCGGAGAGGCGCTTTTCCGCTCGCCAGTTCAGCGCCGACTCTTGCTAGGCGAGGTTGCCCGGCGGGAACGCTTCCAGACCCCCGCCACGAGTATCCAGAGAGAGAGAGAGAAACAAAACAAAACAAAAAAACAAAATACTCATCGCTCTACAACAAATAACAAACAACAATGAAAACGACCAGAACCACAAGAGCAACCGGCGTCCCGTGATAAACGAAAGCGGAGAGAGAGAGAGAGAGAGAGAGAGAGCGAGAGAGAGCCATGAAAACCGGGCCTTTCATTAAAGGGAAGAGCCGATCTCTGCCGCCCTCGCCGCCGCCGCTCATAACCGCCCCCCCGAAAGCGAACATGAAACCCGCCTCCACCCGGAACTGACGCACCTAAACCCACCCGTTATCGAGGTCTAAAGATTCCCATAGACCTTGCCCGTTATAACCCCCTCCCCCCCCTGGATTATGATCGGATAAACAACCCTCGATTCGAATTAACATCGGAGCTGCGGGGGTATCAACCGGCCCTAACAACCCGCCGTAACAGGTAAGGCTTGTGTGTGGGCGGGACGGGCGTGCACGTGTCGGGTTGACGTGAAACGCAAGCACAGTGACCGCGGAGTGTTGCATCAACGTGCGTGCGTTATTGTATTTGCGTGCAATAGGTGAAACAAAATATATATACGGAGTGTTGCATCAATGTGCGTGCGTTATTGCCTTTGCGTGCAATAAGTGAAAAAAACATAAATATATACGGTGTGTTGCGTGCAATGGGTGAGAAAAATAATCATAAATATATAAAGGAACAAAATAAGGTACAGCGTAGATTACCCAATTTTATGAGCGCCAACCAAGGAGTCCATTACTAAGCCCTTTTGGTGTCAGTATATGCCGATATTTCTTGAATTTCCGAAAAGGAAAGTTACAATTTGTATTGTCATTATCATAGTTAATAATGCTATAATAATGGTGATGATAATACCCATAAGAATACAGTCATTCACGATAATAAAAGTAACATTAAAACAAACTTTCCCCCTGGAATTTCAATGCATGGGGCAGGCACGTGGGGTCAGGTAGGCCTAGTTGACTCACTGATTAAAATTAAGCGCACGTGACGCCATCTGCGTTCACAAATCAGCAAAAAAAAAAAAAAAAAAAAAGAGAGAAGGCGGTGCATGTTACCCTTCGCGAGTGGCCTCAAAAAATGCACGTTAATCGACGCTAAAAAGGATGATTTCAGATATAAACCTAATCCGCAGAGTATCCAAGTACAATTTAGAGACCCCAGCATATTTACGACTAATCGGGGTTCATCTGGCGATGTTCTTACGCCGTGCCTTCTCAGGAGGCGACTGCTGCTTCCTCAGCCGAGTGTCTCATCGCTGCAGTTAATGTCACGGATGCCGTTACAATCCACTGCGCTCCAGGCAACCGCAAGAGCTTCCGCGTGCATCAGACGTACGAGTCACTCTATATTTCAACCTCTCGTTCTCTTTCTCATTCCCTTTATCTTTCCTTTCCTCTGCTTCTCCGCTTCTCCATCTCTCACCCGTCCTCCTCCACAGATGCGTCGGCGCTGTCCCTGCCCGGGCGCGGCCCAGCAGGCGCTCCTGGTCTCCGCCGCGGTCATGGCGCTCACACTCTACTATCGCGCCCCTGCCGCCGCCCCCCGGCACACCGCGCCCTTCCACACGGCCGCCCCTGCCGCCCGCGCCGACCCCGCCCGCCCTTCCGCAGGCACCGAGGCGGCCAGAGCGAAGGCGGCGGCGAGGAAGGGCGGGCGAGCTGGCGTCCGCGCGGGCTGGCGGGACGAGGCGGCGGACTTTCCCATCTCGCTGGAGCGCGACACCGGCGAGGACTCCTTCGCCAGCAAGATGATGATGGCGCTCGAGTTCTTGACGAAGGAGAAGAAGCGGAAGGCGAAGGCGAAGGCGACGACGCCTCCGCCGTCTGACCCCGACCGCATGGCCAGCACGGGGTCTTCGATGGCGCCCTCGAACCGGAGCAACAAAAAGGAGACCACGCAAGCAGAGGACTCGAACCCGCGGCCGGACCCCGGGGCGAACTCGACTCCCATTCCCGACCGCAGCGGGAGTCCGGCCGCCGAGCCAGCCGCGAGTCGGGACCCGCAGACCCGGGCGACTCCCAGCGCCTCCCAGCCCAGCGGCCAGGCGTGCCGCGTGTCCTTCCCGCCGCTGGACCTCTGCGAGTGCAAGAGGGAGATCCTGGCGCAGGGGGGAGCGGCGTGCCCTGCCACTAACAGCGGAGGAGAAACGACCCCCCACGCCCTGCTGGCAGCCCTGAACCGCACGCTCGGGTCCTCCACCTGCAGCGACGCAGCCACGCTCAGGGGCGCCAACCAATCGGTGAGATAAAAGTTTCTGTCACTCATTTACCCCGATCCTCATTCCGTGCTTCCGCCAACGATGGCATGGCGCGACGGGAGAACCGCGAATGAGATTTTCATTATTCTATCTTTAATGAATACAAAAGATCTGTGAAAAGGCAGTTGTAACTCTGACCCAGGCATTAGCTAATAAAAATTATAAAGATAACATAGGTAACAATTCCAATAACAAAGATAAAAGCAATCATACAATAACAAAGATTTTTTTTAAAATCAACAGTAATCCAGACTTTATAACAAAAGTAATGATAACGACATAAAGACCACCTAGAAATACCTTAGCCAGTCAATTACAGAAAAAAACACGATTAAAACTGATACCAACAACAATAATAACAGCAATAAATACTAGCAATAAAGGTAATAACAGTCATAACTAAGGTATACCCCACTCCCACCCACCCACCTACCTCCTTCCCTTCCTTCCTCCTCCTTCCTTCCTTCACTAACCCTTCCTCTCCCTCCCTTCCTTTCTTCCCTCCCTCCCACCCTCCTACCCACTAACCCTTCCCTCCCACCCACTCACCCACCACCCACCCACCCACCCACCCTCCCACCCTCCCTCCCTCCTCCATCCATCCTCCTCCCTCTCTCTCTCCCTCCCTCCCTCCCACCCATCCCCCTCCCCCCCTCCCCCCCCGCAGGTGATCAGCATCTCCCTCTTCGGCGCCTTCCCCAGCGACTACCACGACGGGCTGCCGGTGGTGGTGGCGCGGGCGGCGGAGGCGTACCCTGGATGGGCGGTGAGGGTGTACCACGACCTCGACCTGGCGGGGGATGCCAAGGCGAGGGCGTGGGCGTGCTCGCTCGTCTGCAGGTTCGCCCACCTCGACTTCTGCTCCGTCGCGTCCGTGCCAGGTGGGTAATGGGCGGTGGGGGTGGGAGGTGGGGGTGGCGTTGGAGTTGGTGGTGGGCGGTGGTGGGCGGCGGGGTTGGTGGGTGGTGGTGGGCGGCGGGTTGGTGGGTGGTGGTGGGGCGGCGGGGTTGGTGGTGGTGGTGGGCGGCGGGGTTGGTGGGCGGTGGTGGGTGGTGGTGGGGCGGGCGGGCGGGGTTGGGTGGGTGGTAGTAGAAGGGTGGTCGAAGGTGGTGGTGGTGGGCGGTGGTAGGCGATGGGGTCGAAGGTGTCGGTGGGTCGCGGATTTGGGTTGGTGGGTGGTCGGTGGTGGGCGGCGGGGTTGGTCGGTGATGGTGGTAGCGGGCGGTGGGCAATCCATACTTGCTTGATCTACTGAACCTTATTTTCCATTGCTTGATTATTCTATTCTAATCCAATTGTTGTTTCGATTTAATTGCCACTTTTTCGTATGCTGTTTTTTCATGGTTGATCATCAATTTTTTTCCATTACTCACTTTATACTAATTGCCACTTCGTTAACCGCTCACTCCTAATTACCTACCATTTATCACTAATTGCCATTCATAGTTTCGGTGTCTGTTTCTAAGGATAAGAGAAGGTGAAGACGACATGACAGAAAAGATAAAGAAAAAATAAAGGGGGGAGGGAGAAAGAGGGAGGAAGGGGGAGAGAGGGAGAGAGGGAGAGGAGGGAGAGGGAGAGGGAGAGAGAGGGAGAGGGAGAGGGAGAGGGAGAGGGAGAGGGAGAGGGAGAGGAGAGGGAGAGGAGAGAGAGAGAGAGAGAGAGAGAGAGAGAGAGAGAGAGAGAGGAGAGAGAGAGAGAGAGAGAGAGAGAGAGAGAGAGAGAGAGAGAGAGAGAGAGAGAGAGTGAGAGAGAGAGAGAGAGAGAGGAGAGAGAGTGAGAGAGGAGAGAGAGAGAGAGAGAGAGAGAGAGAGAGGAGAGAGAGAGAGAGAGAGAGAGGAGAGAGAGGAGAGAGAGAGAGAGAGAGAGAGAGAGAGAGAGAGAGAGAGAGAGAGAGAGAGAGAGAGAGAGAAGAGAGAGAGAGAGAGAGAGAGAGGAACAGACAGACAAATAGAGACAGTGAAAGCGAAAAAGAAAAAGAAAGAAAAAAGAGAGAAAGAGAAAGAAAGAGGAAGAGAGAGGAAGAGAGAGAAAAGGAAAAAAGAAATCCACCTAACGGAACAGCGACCCACCATGACTCAGCATGATCCATGAATGGATAAATGCAAATCACCAAAATCATCAAGAAAGAAACGGGATGCAGATTCTATGCCAGGAAACAGACAGACAAAAAAGGAGGTCGAGACGAGGAAGAAGTAGTAGAAGTAGAAGAAGAGGAACAAGAAGAAGAAGAAGAAGGAGAGGAGTAGAGTAGAGGAGAGGAGAGGAGGAGAAGGAAAACAAGGAAGAAGAAGAAGAAGAAGAAGAAGAAGAAAAAGAAAAAGAAGAAAGAAGAAGAAGAAGAAGAAGAAAGAAGAAGAAGAAGAAGAAGAAGAAGAAGAAGAAGAAGAAGAAGAAGAAGAAGAAGAAGAAGAAGAAGAAGAAGAAGAAGAAGAAGAAGAAGAAGAGGAAGGAGGAGGAGGAGGAGGAAGAAGAGAAAGAAAGAAGAAGAAGAAGAAGAAGAAAAGAAAAAGAAAAAGAAAAAGAAAAAGAAAGAAGAAGAAGAAGAAGAAAAAAGAAAAGAAAAAGAAATAAGCCCGTATGTGACGTGTGTACCCTGCAAAGAATGCGCCGCGCACCCAGCTGGCTCCCTGAAATGCCCAAAGTTCCGATATTTTGGTCGCTCGAAACTAAATCCCGCCGCTTCAGATACAGAACGAATTCAAGCAACAACAGACATATATACTTAGAAATGTCAACATAGCCTTGCTGGCCAAAACCTTTAATCGGATGGGGAAAAAAATGCATATTTTAAAAAGAAATACCATACATATCTACCTAACAGTAACAGCGCAGAGAATTGTAAAAAAAAAAAAAAAAAAAATCAAAGATAGAAACGAACAAACGACCAGACACTCGAACCCAAAACAAACAAAATACGGTAGACTTCCAAACAACCAACACGGCGCGCAAACACTCGTCCAAACAACGCCAGAACCGCAGCCCCGAAGCCCCCTCCTGACGATCTTTTTCCCTCCGTCAGGTATCGGTGACCTCCGCCCTACGATCGGCACCATCTGGCGTCTGGCGGTGCTCGGCGACCCCTTCGTGCGCAGGTTCGTCATCCGGGACAGCGACTCCCCGATCCTGCAGCGGGAGGTCGACGCCGTGAAGGAGTGGGTCGACTCCGGGAAGGTGAGGCGCGGGCTCGATTTCGGGTCTTGTTGGGTCTCTTGGGTATTCCTGTTATTCAAGCGGCGTCAAGGCGTGAGTGAAAACGGTACATGAATGAGTAAAACGTGTGAAAAAATATTCAGATTCATAAGCGGTTACTCATGCTGTAGTGAGAACGATCTTATCTCCGACATGGGCCAGTTTCCGAGTAACTACCGGACTCCCACTTCAACCTTCTCCTCATCTTACTCATCTTGCAGTGTTTCCACATCATGCGAGACAACGCCGCCCACACCATGCCCATCATGGGCGGCATGTTCGGCGGCTGTGGCTTCTGGCATCGCGAAGTGTTGGAACGCATCCGGGGGACGGTGTTCCGCTTCTCGCGCAAGGAGAGCCACGCCAGCTACTACGACCAGGTCAACGAGGTGGTGAGTACACAATAATTGCTCCCTTGTAATTAACTGATTTCCGGTAATTTCACTTTGTACATTCTTAAAAATTACACATGAAAATAATCTCATCTCGGCATCTCCTCCAACTAAATCTATAACCGAAATTTTCCTACCCAAAATAAAATCGAAGCTTCCCAATGATTACACGTTTTCCCAATCTCCCATCACCCTTAACTGCCCCAATCCTTCAAGAACCAACACCCCCAAAACAACCACTAATCCAAACTTCGACCCCAATCCACCTAGCGGTTCCTGTGGCCAACCATCCAGAAGAGCTTAATTGCGCACGACTCCTACCTGTGCAAGTACTTTCCGGGCTCTCGACCCTTCCCCACCAGGAGAGTCAACCGCACCTTCGTCGGCATGAGGAGATATCGTAAGGACTTCAAGGGCGACATGGTAAAAATACCCTGTCCCGTGGCGTGTCGGCCGCCCAAGCACAAGGACTGGGAATACTGTTAGTTAATTGTGAGGTGGCACTGTGATATTTTTGGTGGGGGGTTACCTGCATGGTAAGGTACTCCATTCACTCTTACATGCTTTTGACATTATTTATTACTGAATTATTGATAGACGCTGTAAGACTTGTAAGCATGTAGCTATATATATGTATATCTATCAATATTGTATGTACCGTTTCCAATATAAATGTCTATCATTCCCACAGCTATCATTAACCTGTGTGGCTATAAAATAGTCAAACAATAAATCAATGGGACTAACACTGATGAGTGCCCATACCTGCATCCACTCTACATTTCCAGCCACGAGGGTCTAGGCCCGTCTCTAACTCCTTACTACAGATCTGACCAACATGCCCAAAACACAACTTTCTAGGTCATTCCCCAGGCTTGCTCCACTTGTCTTGGGATGAGACAATCTAGTGGGCAGGATCATCCTCATGGAAGCGAGCCAGGTACCCTTACTGACTGAGCTGTAAAATTAGCGAGTCCTATGCTGGTCTCACAGTGTGTAACTGTTGGTTGGATACAGTCCCACCAACCGTTCCCCATGATCTGGTACAAGGACCTACTGCAAAAGGCAACAGGTCCTCAATAATACAAACAATAAGGAATGTGACAACCTGATGCACCCAATTTAAACAAACAATTACCTTTCCACTAAAACAAAGAAACACAAATATAAACCAATATATGTAACAGATATCCAGTTTATGATAGTCTTAGTTACTCCCTACTTTCATCGATCTTTGACACAGAAGATGAAAAGAATAACCAAACAAAATATTCACGGGGAGGTTTTGAGAAGGGCTAGTGATAAAAGACAATGAAAAATGGATGAGGATGCCAGTGTTCCACTAGCCACCTCTGTCTCAGGAACCAGACTCAAATCAAGGACGATCACTCTTTTTGGATTGGCCTAAGAGCTGTATAGGAACCAGACAAGCCAGACTTAGAGTTTTTTTTCCACTGGCAATGGGGATCCATAGTGTATGATTGTCTAAGAAGTTTGCAAAATATCATTATGCAACTAAAACAAGATTAAAAATGTTCTGAAACCAGCTGATACGCATCAACATTTGGGGAGTATAACAACACAGTAACAAAAATGGGAGCCTGGGCTGCTCAAGGACCAGGATTGAGTCTTAAACAGAAGACTATGGGCTTATATGGAGTGCCATGTGTATGATGATCGAGGTAAAAGCAAAAGTGGGAAGAACTGAGGATAAGATGAATGGAGTGTTTGGGGGAAGAAGAATATCTTATCACCGGAGAGACAAAAGCCTGGGGTGTCTGGAAACAACTCTCAAAAGAAACTTCAAGAGATAACACAAAAGACCAAAAAAATATGATACTCATTATCTTTTAATAAAACCAATGACCCTTAAATCACAACCAGGAACATAGCATAAAGGCATATTCATATAAAAAATGGAGGATGTTTGGGGTAAACAGAAAAGAACCTTGCTTGTCTAAAATACCACCATGTCCACACAGAAAACCAAAAATCCTTGTATCTGACCACTGCACACATAACCACATACATAGCCCAACATAATCGGAAAAATGTTCAACATATCCATAAAGTAACCTTATGTCCACTTCTGTTCAGGCTCTAGGCAACGGTGGGGTTACTATTTTAGCTAAATGTGCAAAGATCAAGAAACTTCACCACTGTAGTTAATATCCCTGTACCTCAATACTGATAAATGTAACTAAACAAGTATCCCTTGTAATAATATCAATATCAATGCCTAAAATAATGCTGGCATGAAGGCTTTAAAAGAAATGAGCACATACAAAAAAATACATAATAACTTCCTCTTACATTAGCATTGTCCAAAAGAAGAGACCACCGTAAATAAAGTTTCCACAATAAGTTTTGGCATGAACACCACCCAATATATTTCTAGATGAAAAATCTCTACTGCAATACAACTTAATATACAGATATCACAGTAATATACTTCTTATCTATTTCACCTAATCCTTACTATACAACAAACAATGTTAAAAAAAGACATTGATTACATGCTGCACATTTGGTGTTGGGATCACATGTCATTTGGGTAATTTTTTAGTATTACTAAGTTTTTTTAATTGATGTTACACTTTCCTTGCTATATCTAGTGTTCTTAATGATTATACTTCTAGGAGTTAATCTGAAGGAAATTTGTCTTTAGTTAGAATACAATTATAACTACAATCTGAACTAGTTTGTTAGAAAATCCTGCCAAATAAATTAGATCAATTATTAACAGATTTACATCTTACATAGAACTCTTCCTATATTAAACTGTAAATACATACATTTCATGGCATTCCTCATAAATGTACCAAAAATATGAGGTTGACAGTTGAAGCAGCCAAAATCATTTATTTTTCTCACAAACCCAATATCAACATGTACAAGATATCTCAAAAAACTGATGTTCCCGATAGCTAAACTCTGATTGAACAAATGACTTTGTCCCTCTACCAGCAAGATACTACACAAAATAAAACTTTGAACTTGCTCTTCAAGTTACAATCTTTAAAACCATATGAACATCCCAAAAATGTACATAAATCATATGTCATAAAGCACTTTAAATTCCATATATAGAAGAACATGCTTTCCTCATAATTAAATTGCTGAACAAATCACAGCTGACAGAGCATATGCAAAAAATTGCGCCATATATAAATAAACAGAACAAAATTAAATAACTCGGATGGTATTGGTACATTCTCGTCCTTGCTCTGGATTTCGATATATGGTTTTAAGTTCAGTTCATCTGTCATGAGTGAAGCAACATGCATGTCAAGGATGTTGTAAAAAGTTTTGCCAAACCATGCAGAGTTATGAAAACAAAAGCAACTGTTTTGCTTAAACTGGCACACAATCTGTTATGAATCATCATTACTGTTATATTGCAACTACACTGTTCTTAAGTGAAAAGAAATAAAATGAAATGTGGGGCTGAAAAAAGGAAAGAAAAGAAAAAAAATTACCCCATAACTGAAAGGTAAAAAAAACAAATACACAACAGTTAACAAAGAGCAAACTCAACACAGATTTCTTTAAAATGTATTGCAGAAAAAGCCAATAATAATAAAAAAAAGGCACAAAACTGAAAAGAAAAGAAAAAAATCTGTACCAATAAACAATAATAAAGCACACAAACCAAATAAAACAAAATAAAAAGAAAGAAAAAGATGTAGAGAAAAAAAAAAAAGCACACAGAAACAAACACAAGGTCATTCATCTGACCTAGCTTAACTTGAAGAATGAGATAGAAAAACATAAGTAACCTCTGCCAGCTTGTCATAGCTCCGACTATCGCTCCTACAATAAACAAGACTACATCAGTCACAGAAAATGGTAAAAGAATGCATACTGGTCCATGTATAATAGCTAATAAAAAAAGAATCTTTAAAATACTGTCTCATCAGTATTCTGTTTCCCATTCACATTGGGTGAAAACTAAAATATATGTACAGAGCATAACATGAAACCTACATTATAAACATTCAAGCAAAAAATGTATCAATGAAAAAGTTAGATGATAACAAACCAAAACATAACTGCAATCAAGGTTTAGAGTGAGGTTATACTAAGATACTTAGTCCTTTGATCTGCCTGAAGCAGA